GCCAAATGAGAAACAAAACTCTGACTCCTCTTTTGCCATCACTCTCCGTTTTGCGTAGTTTCTAGCCCGTAAAGTTTGTCGGATAAATCGAAAGCGCCGTCAAACCACGAACTGATCCCTTTAGGCATTAATGTTTGGCCTTCAATACTAGTCCGTTCGTAAAGTCGCTGGAATGATTTCGGCGACGCGCACTGTGCATGAAAACTCAGGGTGCGAGCGACAGCTCGAAAAAGCCTATTGCACTGTGCAAAAAGCCGAAAATTGCACAGTGCAAACTGAACTTTCGGTTTCGCGGAGTGCGTGTCGCCGAAAACATTCCAGCGACTTTACGAACGGACTAGTAATTCTATTGACAAACTTTTAGAAAATTTTATACTTTGTACATCGATCACTTTTTTTGAAAAATCTACGACATTTTTGTTGCTCCAAATTGGTCTGTTCTTTTTTTTTGCACATCTGAGAACCGAAGTTTAACCTCGGCCTTCATCGTAAAAACTAAATCCGCATTTCCAACAAAACATTAGTTCAGCCCTATTATCAGTCTTCGGACCGGCTTTGTATGCGAATTTTTGTGTAAATCGTTGAATTAATCGTTCGAAAACTCAAGCGGTTTACACCTTTACAACGGATGCAAGTCGGGCTTAGCCGTCGCCGACCTGTTGACCTTGTTCGGCCGGTTTTCGGAATCGTTTAATGAAAATGTGTACTGTACGCATTAATGCAGAGTTTTCTGGGAAATAAACATTCTAGTCATCGGTACTAATCCAGCTAAAAACAGGCTTTTTGCCCTAAAATAAAATATGGTTTGGGCTACGGAGTCCCGGATTGACAAACAGGTCCAGGAAACTATTAAAAGCTTGAGGAAATCGCTGCTCTTACAGTAATTGTTGACCCCGCAACATTTAAGCCGGATTCCCGTCCACTCTCTTCCTGTTTCGTCGCTGTTTTCCAATCAAAATAAGAGAAATGTGATTCCGCCTTGTAACTCCCCTAATTAACTCACCGCAAATCCCCCGAACATCCCCATGATTTTTACGACTCTTATGGGATGGGCATTGCAAAAGTGCAATCTCAAAATGAGACCTTAGAGAGTACCCAGGGCGGCATAAACAAAAATTGTGAAACTTTAGAGTGTATTAAGGCGGAAGTGCACGGAGATCACAGAGAGGCGAATGGAACAAGCTGAGGATTGTGAAGAAATAAGTCCGGCTTTGGAATGAAAAGCCCAAAAGCGCTTCCCACGTTCTTTACAGCCAAAATCGGATCAAAAGAACGGGCATGACACATAAGACAGAAACTTCCAAATGTACAGTTTTCAAATATAGACTACGTCAGCACAAAAATTGGATCAATCAAAGACAGCAACCGGCCAAATCACGCTTGGAACGTTCCATAGCCTTCCGCAAATGTCAGTTTCCGAAATTTTAAGCTCGCGCTTGGTAAGTGCAGCCGATATTCAACGATCCTTGCCAAAAGTACACAAAGTACAAAGAACGGGAAGAGAGAAGAACAATTTTAAGTCAAATCTTCGCCAATTTCTTGCAAAAAAATTTTGTTTTTGTGGAAATTTTGCTGTCCGCTCTGCAAATCCGTCACAAACTTTTCATGCCGAAAATCGGCAAAAATATCCTATTTTCATCAATTTTGGACGCAAAAATCTCAATTGTTTCTTCCTACAGTAATCTACAATTTTTGTATGTCTCAAAAAGTTGTAGCTCTAAGTCTAGCTTCATTGAAATCTCTGCGAGTCGACTTCCAGACAAACTAGAACTCTGCAAAATCTTTCTACACCTCAATGTTACACTTTTCACCTCAAACAAGTCATAAACTTCATTGCCTCCTTAATCGCTTCTAATTATGTGCTTACTCCTATAGATTACGCAGTCATGACGTCCTTGCTTTACTATTTAACAACCTAGCAATTAAAATTTCCAGTCCTAATTCTATTACCGTACATGACCTTTCCCATCAAAACAGGCTATATTAATAAGTGGGGTAAGTACAAAGGTCGGGAGTTCGCTTTTTTGCGGAGGCCGTTATAAATAAGTAAGCGGTAAAATTTCATGGTCATTGAAACATGGCAAATCGAGCGCGTCTGAGGTTACATGTTACGAGCATCGCTGATGACGCGATCAAAACCCACACAGTATGTAATAAATCGAGAAAGGAAAAGGTTACAGAAATGTTGCGAAAATTATGAAACTTTGCTGATGAATAAATTAAATTCTATATCTGACTTGTCAACCAATTTACTAGTTTATTATATGCAAAAAAAATTTTGACAAAAAGTTTACGCAGAAGCTGTCATCGGCCTTCTCTAACCCGTAGCTATACGTAGCTACGTAAAGGCGGCGAACGGGCCGTGTTTAAGCTGCGGATTAAATTAAACACTGTAAAGTGTTTCAAAACAAGTTCAATACGCATGTTCCGTATCCGGCTTATGGAAAACGACAAAAAAAATACAAAAGGGGTTCTGCTTTGAATAAATTATGTATGCCCATACGGTGGAAGCTTAAGAAAACCGTCGAAGAGTGGCTCTGGAAAGCTTCCAACGATATGAAAATCTTGGTTAAGTTCTATTCGGGGTAAGAGAGCGATGTATCGGTAATTTTATTTTAGTCGCACATCTGCAAATATCGTTGAACATATTGGCTTTTGCCGGAGAACGAAGACCAGGTATCGAAATATCAGCTTTTTTAAGATGGCTATTCCAGAAGTATCGCATTGTTGATATTTTGGGCAGGATTGCTTTACATTTCGGTGTAAAAAATACCGACGAAAACGTAAAGTTTTAGGACGATAATTCAAAAAAAATTAATACGACCGTTTTGCTATTGTAAGGGTAAAAAATGAGCTTATGTTATGACCCTATAACAGCAGTTGAAACACTTTTTCGTAAAAATATTGCCTCTATCAGTAGCAATTAGGCTGAAGCTTTTCATGTTAAGGCTCGGAAAAATTTTTTGCCCATTTTTGGCGTAAAAATCTTGGCTGCTTCTTCAAACCTACGAGCTAAAAATTTCATACACCTTTTAAACAATCTTAAGCCTTTTCTGTATGATACTAATCATTATTGCACAGTAATAATCCAGCATGCGCTGTCGGGCCGGGTCTGACTTTCACCGCCCGGGCAAATGGCTACGTTTAGAAGTTTCGCAAACTGTCTTCCCAAAAAATCGTAGTTCCATTAGCCCAGTCCATATAAGCTAATGAGTTTATAAAAGGTTAAACTAATTCATTGTTCCAAGCCGATTAAAAGTTGAGGCAATCAAATTAGTTCTGCAAATCTGAATCATAAACATAAGGATTAGGGTTAAGGAAAAAGATTTGATTATAAACATGATTGAAAATGTCTCTCTTCCTCAAAACATTTGTATCTTGTCAAATCGGACTTTATTACACAAAATTGTGCACAAAACTCTTTGTCTCAAACACAAATGTCTAATATTTTTGTCTGACCATTTAAAAATAATTTTTGCACACAGTAAATCCTTGGGCTATCCAATTAATCTAACTCTGCGTCACCATATACCAAAACTTATTCCAAAAAATTCCAAAAAACGGTAAACATTTCCTCCGGGCTCCCTAAAATTAGGATTGAAAGAAGGATTGCTCCCGTCACTTCCTCAAAAAATACGACAGTCTCCCTCCTTCTTGGGCAGGGATTCATAAATTTTGCTACGGTTTGACGTGGAACCCAGCTAAACCGGATGTCAAACTGTAACTGTTTCCTTGAACTAGATCTAATCTTTTTTATTTTTTTCACAAAAAAAACTTTTCCGTGCAAAATTGGCGAAATTATGGCGACAAAAAAAATTCGATCCCACTGCATTGGGGGACCTAATCCAATAGCAAAAAACGTACCATTTAGCATTCGGGAAGTATCAAAAATGTGGCAAAATGCTTCCCTCTCCAAGCGAAAAAAAACTCCTATTTCAAAAGCCCTTTTTGCGAGGGAAAAGGCCTTCAAAAGCAGCGATGATCGTAGCCGAGAGAACCCAATCCCGAGTAGGCGGTTCAGATTGGAATAGGGGGTTTATACTGGGTCAAGGGGGGCTGAACTGGACTGGGGGGTTGTACTACCTTAGCCCCGTTTTTTCACTTGGAGAGGGAAGCATTTTTCCACATTTTTGATGTTTCCAGGATGCAAAATAGTACTTTTTTTGCCACTGGATCAGGTCCGTCACTGTACTCTTCGCACTCTCGCGACAACGTCTCATTGAATATCCCGGCGGCTCCTGCATAGCGCGGGCAACTATTATTACTATTGTACTTCCCATTTCTAACGCTTCTCTGGTCTTCCTAAGCCGCCTTGAGGGGATTCCCGCTCTTTACCGGGCCTGTCAATGAAATTGATCCAAAAATCTTTTTGCATAATAAAAATAAGAGGCCATTCGACTAAAGGTCCCATGAATATTTGACTATTTTCCCTCCTTTTCCGGCACTTTTGCGCAAAAATCCGATATAAACCAGAAAATCGCGGCTTACGGCGCAGGATATCCGATTTGCCCGCGATCCCATGAGCTGCGAATTTCGAGTATTTTCTGATATTGCACATCCGATGACGGCTTATTTTTCTGGCAAAATAAGAGACTCCCTCGCCTAAACCCGAGGCCATAAATTATTACAATCTAATTTGTTATGGGTGTCAAACATTAAAAACAATACAGGTTGATGCTATTAGCGGGAGAATGACAACATAAAAGACGTGATTAATTTGACTGCTTACGCTATTAAACAAATCAAAAAACAATAAAAATTCGTACTAAAGTACCTAAAATAGGGTTTATCGAGTTTGGGCAAAAAAACAAAGTTTTACGCAAGAAATTTGGGCTCGATAAACCCTAAAAAAATATAAAATTGCTCTTTCAATTACAATTTATCACCGTTAAACAAAAAATATCCGACAAAACCAAAGGAAAATGTTTATTCTCCATGTATACAGTAAGTGCAGGTCATCTAATTGGTGTGTACATCATGAGTCCATCTTCAATTTTCATCTACTTTCTTCGTTGGTTGCCTCCACCCATAATCATGACCATTCGGATGAAAATGTTGAGGATATCCATGTAGAGCGAGAGTTGGGCGTTGATGGGATCAAAGCCGGACTGATACACCTCCTGCACTGGTTGGCCATACTGATTGTAGTAGGTTTGGACACCGCCGAACGGCTGATGTTCCGCCTTTTTGATGATTCGTTGGGTGTCGTACAACAAAAACATGGAGAACAAGATAAGGCCTCCATACACGACCACAGACGCCAAACTAGCGCCTAAGGCGGTGTGCGGAGGGAAGAAGAAAGAGCCAATATTCGCGACGAATACCACTCCCAACCCCATCGCCAACGGCCCTCCCATCATCAAGAACTTTTCGGATGGAGCGCACATTGCAGTAGCCGAGAGGCCAGCCACCAACCCAGCGGTGTACCAGGCAGCCCGCATTAGAGCGGGACCTCCAACCACACAAAGAGGTGCCAGAACAGCACCCATCACTCCACAATGAACGGCCCAGGCCATAATTTTAGCACCTTTGCTGCCCTCATAGTCCAATGAACGAACGAGCATGCCAGTTCCAATAATCGCGGCCATACTTCCGATGAAAACAAGCAGTCCACCACCCGAAGTCAAAGCCAGGATGGCGGGTGATCGAGCGGCTGCCACTCCAGCACCAGCAGTTAGAGCCAGACTTCCAGCCAGATAGGCGTAAGTGGTCTGAAGACGTTGACGAACATGTTCTGGCCAAAGCCTGAAACAAAACTCATTTATAACTTCGCTTCTTCTCTCGCTGGCTATCTAAAACATAGAGAACAAAAGGAAATACTTACGCAGCCCGATCCATTGCACTAAGACCCTTGGACATCCCAGCCCCATAATAACACAGCATTCCAATGCCAAACACAGAGGCGCCGGCAATAGCATAGGTCCCATAGACAAATGCTAAAATAATAAATAGAAACAGCATAATTATCGCAAATGAAGACTACTTTAGTTATAAACTTACGCTTTCCAGTAGTTGGACCAAGAAGACGTTCTCTGATGGTTGGACCAGCCTTTGTTTTGGTGCCAAATGTCTGAAAATAAAACATGAAAGTGGCTACCACAAACTGGCAACAAAATGTTGAACAAGGAAGTTCTTATTATACCTTTCTAGTCATAACTTTAAAACCCTAAATACCGAGAATTCAACCAAAGTATTAACTTACGTATTGTGTAAACCGACTTCCCTCAAATCTGGCGGCTTGCTTTGAGGAAACATGGAACGTTCGAACCGACGGAACGGCAACACGTCCGCCGAGTACAGCCAATCGTGATAACATTTTAGTAATCTGTTTCTGAAACGAATGAAATGTTAGATCACACAACAAAGGTGAAAAATATACTTGAAGAAATCGACCGAGAAGTCACTCGAAAGCAAAACAAAAAGTTGCACAAGGTTTGGGGACCTTTCTTGGTGGAAATGACGAAATTTTTCGAGAAAAATCCGAAAAAAATAAAATTTCGCAAAAAGAATTTCAATGCCACAAGACGGAATGTCAAAATTGATTCGGTCCTGGCAATGTTGGAGTTGGAAATATACAACGTGAACGGCTCTTCCAGATTTTTGATGAGCTATTTACAACTTCGTACCAATTCTGTGTTATCCATTACCATATTACACATGCCAGCAAGCTCTTGCCAACTGTTTATAGCATCAAAAACAAGGTTTCCAAAAATAATATAATCAAACAGATAGTTTAGTTGTTCGCAGGTTTCGTCCATTCCACTTTGAGAATGAGATGCCCGAAACGAGCGTTGTTGAACATCTCGATGGCGCGTTGGGTGTTCTGTCGACTTTCATAGGTAACAAAAGCGAATCCACGAAGTCTGTTGGTGGCCTTGTCTCGAGCCAAATAGAAACGTTCGATACGACCAGCAGCGCCAAACATATCACGGAGTTGTTCTTCCAGGTTCGGCATATCTTCGGGCAGGTTGGTAACACGACACGTGTTCTCGTCGTTTCTACGTTCAACTAAAGTAATATTCATTACATTTTTTAGACGATTTGGGCTTCCAACCTAAGATGTGCGAACAACAAAATGGAATTTAACTTACCTCCGACACGATCGCCTCCTCGAGCTCCTGGTGGCACATAAGCCCCACCGCCGGATGCTGGTGTTCTGAGCGAGTCAGATTTCTCGTCTTCCTTTTGATAGTACGACTAAAACAAGAAGATAAAACCTTGGACCAAAACACTCACTTTAAGAGGACAGTTGCTAGACCAATGGTCATCCGATTTACAGAGACGACAATGTGCTGCGACTCCGGCGTTGCCACGACCCTCCTCCTTCTTGTCGTCCACCAACTCTTGCTCAGCTTGATTGGAGACCCAGACAAGAGGAATGGTCTCGGAAGCGAAAGTAGTGGCGATGTTTGGGCCGGGTCCATCATTGGCTGCATTCCCGAATTTCTTCCATTTCTTGCGCTCGGCAACAGCACGAGGAACTATACGGTTTACGATCTTGTACGAGGTTACCACCTGAAGATACGCAAGGAAATCAGAACATTGCCTAATACCAAGAGTAAATCATTCCCAAACATAACAAAATGAAAAAAATAAACACTTGCCTTGTATCTCTTTCCATTCTCTTCGACTTCAGAGGTTTCGGTACGAAGTTGGCCTGAAAGAAATAACATTTCACACAGGAGGGTCCCATTATCCAGTATAAATAAAACTATGCTAAATCATTTCAAGAAGTCTAAAATTCGTCAATAAAATTCTAAACACTTACTTTCCGCGGCAACAGAAGCATCAGCCCACGATTGAACAATAGGACCGCCGCTAAAAGAACAAGATTGACCAAAGCAATACTAAAACTCACATCTTTGCTGTAGCCATAATTTTGAAGCTAAAATCTGATGGATATCACACAAAAATAAAGGATATACGAAGTAAAACGTCCGCAATTCAACACGCGAAGGAATGGGTCAGAAAATTTTGGAGGACGAAATGCCACTTATTGCTGAAATCCAATACAGATGCGGCGAAGTGCCACCATTGAATGAAATTTATATAAATTTTATTTTACACAAAAACTGTTTCGATTGTGGAGGTATTTACAGATTATGTGGACTGAGTGCAGTCAGAAAATTTTGGAATAATTTATATATTATACTTGGTAAGATAATTTAATTTTTGATACGTAATTTATTGGTTTTTTGATAGATTTTTGCTTTCAGATCTCAGGATGGTGATGCTAAAGGTATTGAGAAAGCAAAAGATGCGAGAGCACCAGATTCGAGTACTGATTTTGGGATTGGATTGCTCAGGGAAAACGACGATAATGAAACGATTAGAAGGGGAAGACTACATGGAGGTAAGTATAACCTAGCATCAGCTACTGGTTCTATTTTTATTGCTGATCTGTTTAGGTCGCTCCAACATTTGGGTTTAATATATCAACCCTGGAATTTCGGCAATGGAAACTTAATTGTTGGGACATTGGAGGTCAAAGCTCGTTGCGGTCGTATTGGAGAAACTATTTCGAGCACACAGATGCTCTTGTTTACGTCGTCGATTCTACTGATGTCTTGAGATTAAAGGAGGCTCGTCAAGAATTGGATAAATTACTAAATGAGCAGTGTTTGGTTGGTGTAACACTTCTAATATTGGCGAACAAGCAAGATATTGCCGGTTCATTGACTGCGGAGGATATTCAGAGGGTAAGTATAGCTCTCTCTTTATTATTATTTTAAGTTTATGGCCTTTTTGCTTTCGTATTTACTGCATTTTGGGATTTTTTATTTAATTTTGGAATTGTTTTATAGTACAATATAAGAAGCATAAATTTTCTTTAGGAAATGAAGCTGGAAGAAATAAAATACCACCACTGGAAGATCTTCGACTCATCAGCGTACACCGGACAGAATTTAATCGAAGCTTTTCAATGGATGTGCGAGGATGTTGATCAGCGGATAAGACTGCCTGACTAAGTTTATATTTTTAATTTTTTATGACTCGAACAGATTAAAACATGTATATTTAAGCCTTTTATTCGTTAATAATCATTTGAGATTGCCTACAAAATTACTCAATGTTTGAATTTCTCAACGAACACAATAGAATTGGCATCTTTTGCAGCGTTCTTTTGAATTATCCTGTGGCTGTTTCTTTTAGTTTTGTAGACACTGATTTCCTCGTAGCCAAAATCAAAGCAAAATCCTCGATTCAAGAAGATCGATGATCCCAAAATGATCCTGTTTTCGCTTGTGATACTGAACTTGGCTTGACAATCATTCTCATTGACCGGCTCGCTGAATGAATGCCTATCCAACTTCACCACCGCTCCATTTAGTCCCAAAAAAATTGGGTTTATCTCCTGTAGACATGGGAAAATGTACTCTTTCCGGTTCTTGTCGTACTTTGCATTCAACGCCTTAACTAAAGGAAGAACAACTCTTTCCGGCCCTGCGATCCCATTGAGAGCCGTGGAAAATGCCGCGGGGATTGCGATCTTTGAAAAATAGCTTCCAGTTTGAATAGAGGTCACGTTCAGTTGCCAAAGATCTCCAACGTTGTCTTGGGACTTGGTCTTGAGGATAAGATCTGGGCTGGGGAATGGGACCTTGCCAAGGGAGACCAATGTGGAACGGAGTCTGGAAATTTTTTGATAGTTAAACTTGGAATGACAGGCGATGAAAATTTAAGGGCCCCAATTATCGGAGTTGGATAATTGGGGGAAAGGACGGACGATTGGGGAAACCGAAAAGTATTATTTTTCTTCGATGCAAGTGTTGAAATTAGGATAATCGAGGGTGCTGATTTCGAAAATGGCTTTCATTTTTTTTTGATCTCTACTTTTTTCCTTAAGTAGTACTGTAAAGCATTAATTTTTTGCTTTTTTTATAAATACTCGATTTGGGGTTTCGACATTGCTGATTTCGAAAACCTTATTCATTTTGTCTGATTTCAAAGCACCATCGAAAACCCCCAAATAGAGTATTCATGAAAAAAATCAAAAAATTACTACTTTACAGTACTACTTTACGAAAAAAGTAAAGATCAAAAAATGAATGTCATTTTCAAAATCAGCACCCTCGATTATCTTAATTTCGACACTTGCATCGAAGAAAAATAATACTTCTCGGTTTCCCCAATTGTCCCAGTTCCCTTCAAAATATAACCCTAAACTCTGTTGGAATACAAAAACACTCACTTTCCGTCGTCCGTTGTCTCCGCCGACAAACACAAAACCTTGGTGCCAATTGCCGCCAAAATCGAATCTCTCAACGCGGTCGCACTTTGATTATTCCTTGAAAATCCCACTCTCCCAACTCCCAGCTGTCCATAAATTCCTTCGGTGGGTTCCCCTCTAATCTTGTTGACCAGCCCAAACCTTGCCTCGAATTCCAACTTTTTTAACGATAGTTTATCCGTCGCGACAGTTCCGTAAATCGCCGATTCCTTTACGTTCCAAGGCAATGTGTAGTTATTGGCGAATGGAATTTCTAGGCTCTTGAAGGTCTTGGATTCAGTTGTATTTATAGCCAGCTCATAAAGCAGATCAGGAAATGAATTTGCGTCCATGAAAAAGCCATTTGAACAGGCGATATCAATCAGTAATCGTCGAGACTTGTCGAAATGCTTGTCTGGATAATGGATCTTCAGAAAGAAATTGGTTGAAACCGCATTTATCAGCGGTGAAAAGAGCAAAAATACAAAAGCCAAGAGCATTTTAACGTTGAAACAATGAGGTTGCATCACTTGCTTGTTTAATTTATAGTATTAACTTAGAGCTGATAACGATAAGTCGTCATCTTTTTTGCGTCAACAGACAATGCGATCTAGTAAATCATTAGTGAATTAATTACTCGAAATAGTTTAACTATGCCGTAATATGCCTAATTGAAATGTAGCTACTATATGGGATTTGTATACTGTAGTAAAATACGTTATTCAAATTTACATTTTCATCTTGAGTCAGTCTAAAAAATGCTTCCGAACAACAAGGCATCACCTCAAACCTGATTTCATAAGCAAAAATTTCCTAAACATTTCCATCTGTCACTAAAAACAAGGCATTCAGAACATTGAGCGGTCGTTTTTTTCGACCGAAAGTTTTGTCGTCGATTGGAGAATTTGGAAATGTGAGGCGGAACGACCGAACTTCGAGCCCGAATTCCTACGGAAATCATCATTTATTATTCAAATTTGATTGTATTTTCCTACGTGGGATTTCCCCATATAAGGGCCGCTTTTCACTCAAATAAACCAGTACGATCAATCTTTGTCTCAAGTTGTCTCCTCAGAGACTTCAACAGGAAAACGTGTGAGACCCAAGCAAGCTGTGCTCGTCAGGGCTTGTTGAGACGATCTGTGGATGTTGAGGAACGGTAAGGGCATTAAAATTTGGTTTGGTCTTTAGGCAGAAATTAGTACTAATTTTTCAAATTTATTCTTTACTATTTTTTCAATTTTTATAGTCATCAAAATTATCAAAAAAATTTTTTTTGGTACAGTAAGTCGTATTTTCCCATTGTTTTTTATCCATAATTGCTCCCTGGGGGTTTACAAAGCGTTTCCCAAGAAAATGGATTCCTAAAACTGTCAGAATTTGCATATTCAACAAAAAATGTTTTTAAACTTTTCCAATTTATTTCTGAATCGGCCATTCAGACTAGAGCGATCCAACTGACCGGCCGGGTTTGTTCTCTCCGGCTCCATTCACCAAGTTTTGGCAAAAATCATAATTTTTTTGGATTATTCAAAAATTTTAATTTGATGTTTTAAGGTGACTAATATGCGGGTATTGCAGAAATGTTGGAGTCTTTAATACCACAACACTTCTGGCCATTTATGGGTCTGGCCATGACCGCGTCTTGGGTTCTCGGACTGAGTATGGTCATGTGCGGCAAGACGAATAAGGGAGCAAGTGTGGCAATGCCCTCTCCCGCGCAATCCCAGAGCTCGGCTATGAGTAATGTGAAGGTAATTTGATAAAAGTTTTTGGGTTTCAGTCTAAAATTAGATGCGTTCAAGCAAAATGATGATAATCTAACGGGCTTTTTTCAGGAGAAATCTACCGCGAAGCCTGTATCAGCCGCTGCACAGCCAGCCCCGGCAAAGACTCCAACGGTCGAAAAAAAGGTGAGCTGACTTTTTAAAATCTAGTTAAAACCTCAAAAAAGCAATTTTTTCACTCCAAATTTTCCCCTAATTCTGAACCTCAAATTTTCAGAAGAGTGAAAAGGAAAAATCCGAGGTGAAGGAAGAGAAACCGGCCAAGGAGAAGTCGGCGAAGAGCAAGAAACCACCAGTCGCCGCGCCCGGCCCACCTAAGTCGATGAGGCGAAAGAAGGACGCGCCTCCGCCAGAGGATAAGAAGGACGAGGAGGACGACAACGGATACGAGAGCTGTCCCGACATGACTCCCGAGCAGTTGGCCAAGGTCGTGGAGGAGAACCCCAAGTAGAAGGTGCGGAGAGGATGAGAAAGCTGACTGTGGTTGATCCTTTGGTTCCGTTTCAAATAAACCATTGATCTTCGGTGGGATTGTTCTCGTTCGTATACGCTGATGGCTGACGCACGTCAATCCAAAATAGAAGAAAAAAATTCCCGCCCCTTTTTGGCGATTCGTTCAAAACGAAATGTCAAAAAGCATTTTCTTGCCTTTCTTCTTCCTTTTCGAGAAAAAGCAATTATTTCGGGCGAGAAAAAGTGCCGATAATTTTGCAACATTTCGTCTCTCTTCTAAATCAATCTTTAGTCATCAAAATCCCAAGTGATTTTCATCTTTTTTTATTATTCCACTAATCAGTACTGTAATGTCTCAGTAAAAGCCGATATTACTGATATTACAACACAGGATGCACGAACACAAACTACAAAACATGAAAATGCTTATACTATTAATAGATAGTACTGCATGTACTATTCATTACAGTAAAAGAGAGCTTTAGATGAAGAACTTGTTGCTGGCATAGAGCTGATGGTCGGCGCCGACGCTGACGGCACCCTTTTGTTCACGGAGGAAGAGGCGGGCTCCTCTTTGGAGGCCATGGGGCTTCAAGTAGTGATAGGCGTCGGTCCAATGGCCATGGAGGGGAGCGTAAGGAAGGAGGGAGACTACCAAGCTGAAATAGGGTAAATTAGGTATGAAATTGATAAAAATCTCTGATAAACACCAAGTATCACCGAGATTTTTAGATCAAAAGTCGGCGAAAATTTGAGACTTTTTACCGAATTTCGGGACTAAAAGTTTCATACCTATTTCTGCCGTAAAGGTAGAAATAGGTATGAAACTTTCACAAAAAACCATTTTTTCCGCGCGAAACTAACAAAATTACGACCAAAAATTTTTTTTCTCAAGACCAAATTTTTACCCAGACCTAAAACAATATCCAAATCCTCTCCCCTGCCTCAAACTCACTTTGATCCAGTCACAGACATAACTGTAGAGCACACAGCGAACGGATATGACCAGCCGGAGACGACGAATGGCACCAGGACATTCGTCACTTTCCTCAAGTTCCGAATTGTGTCCACCGCCTGTTTATCGTCCTTGTTGTTGCGCTCGGCGTGCAAAAGGAGACGTTCAGCGGCATATGAGAGAGTGTTCACTCCCCAAACCAAGATGAAGTCGGTGATCAGAGCAGGAATTAGGCCCGAGAAAAGTCCGCCAGGGCCTTCTTCTTCGCCGACGCGGAGGATTCCAGTGAAAAAGTTGGGATATTTAGACTCTCCGCCAATGTGCTGGGCGATTTCACGGACCATCAAGACTAAAAATAAAAAAATAATTTTTCTAAAAATCCATTATGACATTGCACACCGCAAAAAAATCAAAAAATCTGCGCTGCACTGCGCAAAAATTTTATTTTCTTACCAGTCAATGGTCTTTGAGCGATCAAGCCGACAGTGTGAGTCAAAGTCTGCCTGATGGCAGTTCTGAAATGGACCTGGAAGCTTTCATAGTCGTCCAATTCCTCTTCAGCCTTTTTAACATTATCGTTCTTCCCTCCAATTTCCGGATAATATTCATCAATGTACTTCTCAAACACATAGGAAGCGGTTCCACCAACCAAAGTGCCGACGAAGCCGGCTTCGGCTCCTCTCCAAAGGGCCAGAGCGCCATGTTCAACGTAGATATTGCGGACTGAAAATATTATATTACACTAGGTGATATTCAAAAAAAAATCTCTCTTGAAAAAATAATTCATAATAGTTCCTATCATGCTCTAAACAACTCACTGTACTTCAGGGCATTTGGAAGAAAGTAGGCTTCGCGGCCGAAGGCGATAAAAACTCGGCCAGTGCTCAATGGATAAGGTTCATAGCCGAGCTGGAACAAGGTCTTGGCAAAGGTCAATGGGTAAGTCGCAACTCCAACCAAGGCCTTGCTTCCAAGACTCTTAGCGTACTTCACATCATCAGTCTGAAATTGACACTAGTATTTACTATATCCGACAGACTTACGTCCTGATCAGTTGGTTCCGTGGGGGTTTTCTTCAATTCAACTGTGGCCATTTTGCTCCAATTTTAGTTTCCGTACCTCTGACAAAACGAAAATTCCGGTTATTAATCACAAATTATATTATACATGACGTCCGATGACAAAATCTTCCAAAACGTAAGTGAACCCACAAGATATCAATGCGATTTCAACACATTTCAACTCTACACCTCATTTTCCCGTTTAAAAATCACATTTATTCACCCGTGAAGATTGAACCGATATAAATTAATTATCAAAAGATAAATTACATTCTTCTGAGGACCAATTGCAAAGTCGATGGTAATCGATGGAGTTCCGACTTTGATACGTACGGTAATGGGGTTCCCAACGGTTCTGGAGAGTCAAAGGTCAATACAAAGAGGTCTGTAACATCTGGCGGGAAGGTGATCTCTGGGTTCTGAAATTAATATTTTGAGAGCAAAATAGAACACAAATCTAAAAAGGAAAGTACTTCTATGGGGTATTGATTACAGGTCGCATATATCAAAAAATTCGCAAAATTTTCCCTCAAGTCATCAATATTCTCTTACCTCATCTTTAAACTCGACTATAGTCACACAATTGTTCAAAACGATCCTCCCTAGCACCGAAAACGCTTGCAGATTGTCCGATGGACTTTCTGTTGACGCTATAAATATTGGGCCTTCAATATTGACTTCCTCCGGCCATGTTGTATACCATATATCACCTCTCAGAAGCGCCGAAGCTTTTGGTTGTGGCAGGGACAAGCACCATCCTTGTCGTTCCGTTTCCGTGTAACGTTCGTCCTTGTCCAAGTATATTGCCCGCGACCAGTCCGTTTTAGGTACCTTTGGATCTTTGCTGACAGTTTTCTTGGGGTCGTACTGAAAATTGAAAAAAATGAAGTGCCTTGAATTACCTAAAATAATGAGGAATGATAATATAAAATACTGACCCTTGCTGGAAATGAATCCACATTGGGCAGATCTTCCCTTCGGTCCTGGTAGACTTGTTGATGTCGTTCTCGCTCTCTTCTTTCTTCGGCTCGATTCAAAATTCCTTGAATCACTTCATCATCTTCCTTCTCAATATCGTTGTCAAGCTAAAAAAATAAAAAATGGTATGAAAATGAAACTTTTACCTTGATCTCCTTCACACTGCCAGAAGCAAAATCCAGATCCATTTTGAAGCCCCGATCCTTTCGATTCAGTCGTTGTCTATGAAGTTCCTCTTTCCTTTTCTGAATGGCCTTTCGCTCTTCAGCTGTCAAATAATGTCCATTCTCGACGTTGTAGTAGTCCGAGTCCAAATCCAGCACTCGATTACGAACAACACTGAATTAAAATACAAACTTATATCGGTCTAAAATGAAAAGAAAACCAACTCTGAAACTCGTACCTTTCCCTGTCGGCTTTGAGAAGTTGATCTCGGTATTTTTCGGCTTCAGCTTCTTCTCGACTCCGACTGAGATCCGAACCATACCCAGCTTTCTTCATCAGGTCCTTTTCAAGTTGCATTCCCCGTTTCTTGTCGTTCATTATAATCTGAAACATATCCCATTGTAAAATTTGAAAATTCTGATATAGTTCAGTAATCAAAATTTCATCATATTTCATGTAAACGGGCAAATAAACGTCACTTCTGATGTCCTAAACAACGAACAGAAAAGATTCAAACTCTTACATTTTCCTCTTCTTTCGTACAGACAAACTTCCCACAGAACACACACGGACCTGATCCCTCTTGCTCACAAACGATTCTCCCGCATCCAGTGCAATTCCGGATGAGTCCATGAACTCTGGCTTGACACTCACATCGATGTCGACCTGAAATTACATAAACAATAAATTAAAACATAGTAGCCATTATTTTTAATCCAAAACCCCTCATGGACATAAGTAATCTCTCTTTCGACAGGCGACTGATATTGCGTCATCCAAAAAACACACCAAAAATTCAGCACATCCAAATTCATCAACAACATCAATACAACTTTCCAAAATCAAGTTCTTTATCAAAATTCCACACCAAACAACAACAAACAGTAAAGTTTACTCCTTCCCGCCTAAACGCAACAAAAACAATGTATAAAAACGTTTACCTGGCAATTTATTCGGGATGTGCCCAACGGTCTTGAACATGATGAAGAAGAAGAGATCACAAAACCCTTCCTGGTGTGTTTTCAACCCGCACTCAAGGCTATTTGCAAAGAGAACGTGTGTTCCAAAAAAATCTTGTCCGTTTCGGCCAAAAGCAGCAAAATAAACGGAATGCCAAACGGGAATTTTTCGTGGTGGGACGTGCATTGACTGTGGTGGATATTGAATATGACTAAAAATCAGAAGGAAAGCTGCCAACTGGGCGATAATTAGACCTTTTTTGTCTCCAAAAAATTTTAATACTGCTTTTTGAAACGTCATTTATATACTTTTATATTTCTTTACAACACCAGTATTCAAAAAAATTATTTCCGAGCTACCGAAGGGTGAAAGATACAGAAGAGATTTGGAAAAGACTTCATCATTCCTCTCTTGGCTTTGTGAGACAGAAGCAATTCGTACAACTCGTGTAAATCCTGCACCAAGTCGTCGTATTTGTCTCCAAGTTCTTCTCCTTTCATCGCAAGCAAATCTTTTTTCAATCGTCTCACGCTGCTGACTGGGTTGAAGTGAGCCGACTCGCCAGCCGTGTAGGCTTCTTGAATAGCCCGATAAAACAGGGCTAATACTTTTTCAGGGGATTCGTTGGACCCAAGTTGTTGTAGTAGACTTTTAACGATTGGCAAAACATTGACTTCCCGCTCCTGAAATTTTGCAATGTTAGGGTTTTGACGACTATTGAGGGGTCTCAGAGCAATATAAACGTTTGTTACTGTAATATCATCAAGAAGCTGGAGTTTAAGAACATCAAAATATAGTGAAGCGAGATCTTTTGGCCCATATTTGAGTATTACCTCTTAAAAAAGATTTAAAATTATTTATCAAGCCTTGCGAGACCCTAACCATCCTCTACGAAAAGTTTCATAAACAGCTAACCATTTTTTTAAAGTCTAAAAACTGTTTTTAAGTGTCAGCTTTAGCTCCAAATTACTCACTGCTACAATTGCCTCGAGCATTTCAATTCGTCCATCAAAAAACGTCAAATAGTTTTCAGGGACTCTTTCTGCCATCATTTGTCGAGTATTACCCAATTGCTCAACGTATTTCTTTAGGCCCTCACCCAACAGATCATTGTCTGAAATGTTCAGTAACAGTCTATGTGATTTCATTTGTTCGGTCAAAACTTTTTCGCCAATCCCGTGAGAGGACGATAGTTGTAGGATCTGAAATGTGGATTGGATTACTCTGTGTCGTACAGTGTTTAATGACTTACCTGGTAGATGAAATAGTTCATTCTGACCCCCAATTCGATAGGGTCGACGATCAGCCCTCCGGCGGCCATAATTTTGTGCAGCTTGACTGTTAGATAGACCACTTCGCTTGAGACGTTCTGAAAATAATACAAATAGATTATTATTAAAGGGCCAAAATTTATGGTTTAAAACGAAAATCTTGTCTCATATTTTTGTGGCCATTTTTACAACTTCCCTATCATCATCTCACCTCTGTATATTCCGTATAATTAGTCATCTCTCCGTTTGCAGATGCAACGATTGTGGCCAAAAGAGAGAAAATCAGAACTTTCATTTTTGCAATTGATTGTATTCCGTCCGATTTTTATATAAACATTAACATTTTCCATAAAAATTCAATGGAAGACCCGATATCTGAAAATTTTATAGGCTTCGTGAGCCGTGTTCTTGGTGTAGAAATCTTGGAGAAAAATCGGAATGAAGAACAGACGGCCATAAGGACAAAACGGGCCCAGTCTTCATGTATACATGACCATTGCTCCAAAGAATTTTTTACCGGTTTGACTCTGTCTGTTGTCAGTGGTCAAAATTTGTCGCTTTTTCCAAGTTTACTCACCAAAAATTTCAGCTTGATTTCAGCTTGAACTGCCATTGTTTTACAAAAAAAAAAAAATTTTTTTCAAGCTATATTTTTTTTTGTCTCACTGCTCTCCGTAATTCGCAATCATTGGCCGCTTTGCCCTTGATTCTTTCCAATATCTTCCTATATCGGAAGCACTAGCACAACGTTTTTTCACGGAATTCTGGTCGCGTCACGCCACGAAAACAAATGTTTGGCGTACTGTTAAATAATGTTTTTTGGCTTCTTCGAGAAATTACAAAAATTGTAATTTAGCCCAGTATTGAACAAAATCTTGACAGAAAAAAGCTATAGACCCTATCAGTGAATTTTTCTTGTTATAGTAGGTCTGGTTTGTCTTTCAAAAACACCATGCTTGATGAGTTTGATAATTAAAATATCTCTAGTTGCGGAATGCCAAGGATTTTGTCATTTTGCGAAAAGCCCGGGCAACGATTTCAATCATTATAATAGCAGGAAAGATGTCTCAATAAGTCGAGTTTCGAGCCAGAAAAAGTTCTGAAACTTTGCATGATGATTGAGAATGATGTTGTAGTGCTGATCGACCATTTTTGTAGGATTCGTGACTAAACGTCGCCCGCTAGGCGATTGCAAAGTTCTCAATTTTGGGAAGTTTGAAGTCGAATATCTCAAAGACTGAATAACACATACAAATTTCTGAACCTCTAACAGAGAGATAACTGTCTACTCTTTCCAATTCACCATTTATCAAGTCGCTCAATTTTGGATGACCGGGTGAAAATATCGTATCTTTAAGACCACCTTTTTGGAGCGAAGTGTCACAAAAATTCGATCGATAATGGCGCAATTTTAGCTCGACTTCCGCTTTTCTAGTAGAGTCTAAACGTTGTGTAGAGGCTATATCACCGTTTGTCTCCGCAGATCCCACACCCAGCCTCATTAAAGTTCTGCCGAGACTTCACAAAAACTAATTTTATTATGAGTCATCCTCCTTTTTACATTCCGAACAAACGGGTTTCAGAAGCTTCAACAATTTGTCCAACGTCCTTATCGACTTCCTTTTTGCATTGTTGTCCAAGAGCTCATCAAATAATTCCTTTAGATTGGCCAAATAGTCATCATAATCAGGTCCAAGAGGCTTCTCTGGATCCAATTTCAGAAGCCTTTCTCTGATCTCTTTAGCGGTTTCTACAGGATTCAATTTTTTGCTCCTTTCTCCAGCCGCAAATGCTTCATGTAGAGAGCGGAAGAAAAGTGAGAGGAGCCGTTCACCGGTTTCGTTGAGATTCCTCTGCTGCGCAATCGCTGTAAAAACTTTGAGAATTTGCTTGCGCTGAAAAATAAAACAACGAATAAATTTTGTGTGGAGCTTACAAAGGCTTACAAAGATGCGACGCTCAGACCTCGATAAATCGGCTTTTTCATTCCATAGGATATTTTAAAAGTAATTTTCAGAATGGGATATCAGGTACTATATACACAAGATATTCCTCCAAAATTACGTCAAAATCTGAGCGCCGCACCTCTCATAATTCTTCTTTCATTGGCAAATTCCCCCACCTCTCTCATGGTCTCGAGCATCTCAATTATTTCATCAATGTACGAAACGTAGTTGTCACTAAGCTCTTCAATAATCGCAGTCCTCAATTCTTTCAGTTGTTCAATAAATTTAACCAAAGCATCTCCAAATAAGTCATCGTCGGGTATCCCCAACAAAAGTGTGTGGGAAAGTTGTTGCGCAGAATGCAATCGAATCCCATGATTTTGGGCCAACTGGCCAGTCTGAAAATAATGGCTAAGAATTTGAGATTTTATGGAAATGGTGACTATGGCAAGTTGTGAGGTAAACCCACTCTGAATATAAAGTAATTGACACCGATTCCCAGCTCAATTGGGTTCACATTGTATCCGCCTTCCTTGTAGATTTTGTGCAATTTATGCGTGAGTCTTACCATCTCACTTAGGTCATGCTAAAAATAAGGAGTAATCAATTATCAAGAACTGTAAAATCATTCAGTTGTCATATAAAAAATCAAGATTTTCAACAAATTTCACAAACTTTAGACAAGCAACGCTTACATCAAGATACCCGTCCAAACCATTCGACACAGTTTTTGCAGAAATTTGCACTGCAAAAATCAGGAGAGGCATAAGAAATTTCATTTTCTGCAATTGTTCGTCCCACGCTAATTCATTTCTTATACGAACATCAAAATTTAAAATTCAGCCCGTTGGTTTTGATTGCCTTTTCAAACGCTTGCTTTCACTGTAAAGACACATTAAACGATTTTTTGCTGTCAAAAAATTCCCACGGATCATGAACATGGTGGTCCGCTAATTTAAATAGTTGCGACAACAAATTGGGGTCTTCTCGGATTGGTCAGAAAATTTTTAAAAGAATATCCAATAGGCCAAAAAATGAAAAATAATAATGAATTGCCTTATAAGTCATCAAAAATTATTATACAAACACATCTAAAATGGGACCATAAAACAGAAAAAATGGTAAGTTAATAATTGCAACTAATTAATATCAATATTTGAGATCATAGATGAAAACTGAAAAAAAAATTCGTCAAAGCTAATGTATGTACTATACGTATTATATACGAAGCTCTTTGTCACATTCCGCCAAAAAATTAAGACCAAAAAATCTACAAAAATATTTTTTTTGTAGACGGCTAGATTTGAGTAGAATCACCACGTACGTTTCTTATATCTTTTAATCATAAAGATCATATCTGATGTAGTAAAACAATAAGGCATATAATAAAGATATTTTGTACACAAACTTTTGCTGACACAACAATGAAGATTCTAATACAAGTTTCGTCGGAAGGCGGATCTTCTAGGGAACACAATCGCATGATGATATCTGCTAATTGGGACGTCCAAACTGAAAAAAAGATTTAACATTATGCTACCTCTCAATACCAATAAGAATCATTGCAAATTTCTCACCCTGATCCGGCCAGTGCCATGATTTTCGCTTTCGAGTCGAGTCTATAGAACATTGAGCCACATCTGTATCGGATCAGCGGCAATAAAAACGGAAAGGCTGCTCTCAAATAAATCGAAAATTCATATGATCTACTACAATGTTTCCTGACAGCGTAACGTTGAATGTATACGACACAACGGGAAATCAAGTAGCGGAAACCCCAGAATGCGGCAGAAACACAAAGTCCGTGGAGGATCGATGGGATCAGACCGGAAAAGAAGCCGGGGATCCCTTCTTCAGTCCCAATCAGACGGATACTGTGCAAAACTCCGTGGTACTTCGATTCGCCGATGGTGTATTGGGCAATTTGACGGGCTAGGACGACTGAAAATAATGGGAATAAAAGAGTTCGCCCGTATATGCAGTGGACAACAGTGGAATCTCAAAGCCTGCCTATTACAACCAATTTCAAAGGCCTCAAAACAGCGTTTTAGGACAAATGAGCTTCTATAATACGAACCCTTCTACAACGAATAAAGTTTGTGGGATCTTAGGATTTTTTGTCTAGACGTTTTACTGCCGTTGTACATTTTTTAACCGTAAATTTTTTTTTAAAATTCTTTTGTCTTTTCACCATTTTTTTTATTTTAAACATCGAGATTACGGTAGAATGACCAAATATTTTACCCTCCCAAAGCATTTTTGCTCAGGGATTTCCCCCAGAAAAACCCTCAAATCTCATCAAAAATCAAAAAAACCCACCCATAAGCGGCCTTTGCACAACAGCCAGCAATGTGTTATAAACGCATTCCCTCAAACAAGTGCGAATGTGAATCCTCAAGCTATGAAACTCATCCATATCATATTCGGAGAGCCTTCGATTCACTGGCGTTCCACCAAACTCCGAGCAATTCGCATCAAGAAATTGGGGAACAATCGAAGTTGTGAGACATTCAATTACAGCAAGGGCAATATTGGTGTCTACTCCGATCAAGAATATACGATGACCATCGCGCTTATAGAGTGAACGGACTGAAAATGAGTGAGACAGGTTTGCTGTGGATGATTTTTGCAACTTACGGTATCTGAGGACATTTCTGAGGGAATAAAGTTGGTCACTTTGTTTGATATAGGTTTGATGGGGGATCCCATAGCCAAATGAAATAAGATGCCGAGAAAGCGATAGAGAATGACTTATCGAGAAATAAGAGAGGTGGCCAAGTAAGGAGTCCGATTTTTCCGTTTTGAATCCATGGACCTGAAATTGGAAAGCTTGATAAAAATGGCGACTAAAAATAAAGTTTTTTTTATCTGTCTAGTTTCATTTTTTTTAAAGAAATTAGTCAAATTTCCATTAACTCCTAAAAGCCTCAAAATCTTACATTATAATGTTCAATTTCATCCATATTCCCCCTCCTTTCGCGGAAACACCAGCCGCCTTTCGAGTTGATAAAACCTCTTTCTTTGAGGGAGAAGAAGCGAACATAAAAAAACGCTGGTCAATCCAAGTTCAGCGTAACAGTTGAATCAATAGTGGTATCCGCCTTTTTCGGAGCTCAAAGGACGTCCAAAATTTTCATTAGATTTCTACTTTTAATCCGCAAAAGCATAAGTCATATTTTCTATAACACATGTGTAATTTATGGCCGGCCACAAATTTTCTCGAATTAAACTATGACGAAAAACAACAAACAGGTGTACATGAATCATTTTTATATGAACCTGGCTATTTTTCGATTAATTTCGCGACTAAAACGGGCGTAAACAAACGCTTTTTTTGAAGAGATTTGAGGTGAATTTCCTTTATCTGGCTTAAGGTTTTTTCCCTAATTCGCTGGAAAAATTATTGTTGAATCTGCTAAATATAATTTTGTTTCCTTGTCATGTTGGTTGGGCTTGATAAGAGAGATAATCGAAACAATTTTGGAGGTAACATTAAAAAAAGCCAGCGATATTTCTTTTTATAGTCATTCAGCTGTCAAGATGAAGGCCAAAATAGATGTCGTGACCAGTTAGATAGCCAAAACAGTGTGTTGTTGTTGTTTCCTGGCCAAGCTAAGCGTCTTGAGGGCAAAATAATGGGGGAATTTTGTACGGAAAAGACATTAATCTTTGGCCAAAAATAAGTTTTATAAACTTATGATCATATTTTTCTGGAGTTTTGCTTTTGTCATTCAATTGCTTACTCTTTTAAAAATAGACACCCCAACTCTTAGAAATGACTAACTGCACTTTGTTGACTAACAGTCCTCCTTACAACCTCTCATTTCAAAACATTTGCTGTACTTATTTTCGCAGCACCTCCGCTTTTCCCTCCATATTTTCAATGTAATTTTCCGTTTTCCTTGAAATTTCAAGTCGAAGGACGAGGGAGATTGCGTAAGGCGACTTTCCCCCTCTTCACCCTTCCCATCTGATTCGCGCCAAGCAAAGAATGGGGCTGCTTCTTTTGTCGCGCGCACCAAAAGGTAACCCTTTCTTCTTGTTGTAGATCGCTGTTTTCTTGCGGGTTCGTTGGCGTCCAGCCAAACTTGTGCCGTAATTACGCGGCTAAACGGCGGATTAATTGAATGGATAAAGGCGCAGATAAAATTAAGCGTTCCTTCTGTGATCTTTATACTCGCGGGGTTAATGGCTCGGATTAGACAGCGATTTTTGAAAATATTTTGTCTGTTTATGGGTAATCAAAGATTTCTCTTGATTTCCTAATACTAGGAAATCAAATTTAATCCTTTTTTTCTCTGTTATTTTATCTTTGATTTTCATATTTTCTGTTCCAAAAATCCTATATAAAAGATGGCCTGTCTCTTCATAATCAGACATAGATCATTGCGGACAAATCGAATCTATGTTTTGTAATCTAAAAAACGACTAGATTGGTAGCCCCATCATCTAAATGGATAGCCAAAAAGTTGAATTGTTCCAAAAATCTCATAAAAGACTAGCGATTTGAAACCGGCTAGTAATCCAACCTTCGGGTTAAACCTTTTATGAGATTTTTAGGACAACTCAACTCTTTGGCTATCCATTTAGATGATTGGGCTACCAATCTAGCCGTTTGTTAGATTACAAAACACAAATTCACCTTTTCCCGCAACAAACCCTGCCCAATAGCCGACACAAACAGTTATTCTTTTTTTTTATCAAACAGAACTCCCATGGCCCGCTCTCCACAACTATCCGCCCCGTTCTTATCATTTTTTCATATCGGAACACTGACTCATTCCCCAATCGCTGAACTTTTTCCCAACGTTTTCCCCAACAAAAACATCTGAAAGTTTTTTTCGTGGGCCCTCTCTGGACACGAAAATCGATTGGGGTTTTGCTCCTCTTCCGCCCCTAGGATCGATTTCCATGCTCAGCTCACCTTTGATTCCTTTAGTTTTTAATTGGGTCGGACAGGAGTTGTTTTAACTCCGGAAGCGACTACAAATTTTATTCGAATTCAGTCGTTTTTTGGGCGAAAAGAATAGTTTTATGCGGCCGGACCATTGTATTGGAGGAAAAAGAGCGCGTTTAACGTTAGGGATCGCCATAATTCCTCAAAAACTTCGGGGTTTGTATCGCGGAGGCAATTTTCTAATATTATTATCAGCCCATACTTTCGATGATAAAACCATTGGCGTCAGATACCGCTTTTCGTGTATTACGCAATATAAAATAACTATTTATCAAGAATTTTCTAATATGTCTAAAATTTCAGCTCAAGATGTCGTTCAATATGGAAAATTTGTTCCAAAAGACACCTACACGGCCAAATCGCCTCTTCCCGAATAGTCTTAGGGACTCGCCAAATGTAAGTTATATTACACTTGATACATATACGAAAAATTCAAATCATCTTGAATTGATCTAAAACTAATAGTCTAGATTAATACATCTATATTTTTTTAGACCTCATCTTTCGATACTAATGTAATTTCTTGCGCACAGTTGGAGCAAAGTGTAAAAGGAATTTTGGACTCGCCATGTGTCCCAGACATCTCTGCAGGCAGTAGTCAGCGAAGATCGATACGGAGGACCCCTCTTAGACAAAAAGTAAGTCATTTACTATCATTTTAAATCATCCAACTAAATTTTGCACAATCTGGTACCTAATACAACGTAATCTCAAAATTTTATCAGCTGTAACGGGCCGTGATCTTCATCACGAGCCAGTTTTCATCATGAATTTCGAAATCAAAAATTTTCTAGAAATCAGATAAAGACTCGTGATTTACGTAGTTGGTTTGCAAAGCTTCTCAAACAGCCGAAAAAAAGTAACAGAAAAAATCCCAAAAATTCTCCCCATTTTACAATTTTTTGTTATTTACGGCACTCAATTTTGGCATTTCGCCGCTGAATTTATCGATTTACACAACCTTTTCGAAAAAAAGCTTGATTTTTTTCTGTGGTCCTGTTTTACTTGTCAGAGTTGTTGATAAGCAATTTGAGGCCTTGTGATCAGCTGATATGAGGTGTTTTTAGCCTTGTGAAAGACGAGGATATCTATAGCTTTTTAGAAGTTTTTTGTTTTTCGATTGGGTTTAGTTAGCATTTTAAAAGAGAATCAGACACTTCTTCCTTGTTTAGTTCTCTGATCTCTTTATTATATTGGGGTTTACTATGTTTCTATATATGTTTCGTTTTATTTTTCTTCTTTCCGTAGATGGATAATATCACAGCTTTAGTTTCAGTCAATCCCGGAACAAATGAAGCCCCACACGCCCACAGAGGCTTCAACTACCCCAACTACCGCTCATCGTAACTCACCATGCTTTCAAATTCCCAAAATGGTTATTGATAACTTGTCTTTGAGGTTCTTGAACAATATTCCAGAACATGAGGTAAGTCTATGAACTTGTGGTTTGTTGATGTTTAGGTTTGAAAACTGTGGGCTACATGGATCTTCTTAGAGACCGACCATCTCTTTTGGCTTCTTTTTTCATAATAATTTATCCGTTTTCAGAAACGGGATCACATTCGAATTTGCTTTCAACTAGAACAGGCCCATTGGTACTATGTGGACTATTTTTGCGAGAAAAGACCAGCCAATGTTCCGATTTGTCATAACGTTAATTTCCGTGACTTTGTCCGACAGATGTTCAATAAGTGCGAGATGTTGGGATGTTTCAAGGGTCACGTGGATGAGGTTTGTTTTTTACTGTTTTGTTTCTTCGGGTTTAGCTTATTATGTTCGTAGATGTATCACATAGGATCACATAGGGTGATTTATTAATCAATGGGCTGAAATAAGATTTGCGATTAATATTAACCCATATCTATCGAAGTTTCTCGCTTGATGCCTAAAATAATATGAAAATTTTTAGATAATCGAAGAATTCCGTCAATACAAAGGTGGAGTGCCCACTTATGGGGCTGTAATGTTCAACAAAGATCTCACCGAGGTCTTACTTGTCCAGGGTTACTTCTCCACCAAGAATTCTTGGGGCTTTCCCAAGGGGAAGGTAAATGAAGACGAAAGTCCCGAAGCCTGTGCAATTCGCGAAGTTCTCGAGGAAACTGGCTATGATATTACTGATAAAATGCGGCCAGATGTTATGTTCCGCTACAATTTGAATGACACTGCCGTCTGTTTATATGCTGCTTTGGATGTTGATCAGGATTTTTCGTTTCATCCACATCTGAGAAAGGAGATCAGGTAAGCCTTTTTTTGTTTTTGTTGGATTTTGGACTACCAGATAAGAATGAGGAAAAAATGAAGATGGGGCTAGTTTATGAAGAATTTTCAATTTTTTAGATGTATTGGACTAAAAATTTAATTTTTAGAAAGATCGCATGGTATCCAATCCGAGAACTCCCCAGAAACAAGAATGATAATCAAGCCTGTGCTCACAGAGGATACATTGCCAAAAATTTCTATACAATTTTACCTTGTGTCGATGAAATTCGTCGATTTGTGACCAGTGAGCTGAAGAATCGAAGAAGATTGAGTGAATCTTTTGGAAGTCAAAGCAAAGGTTCAGCATTTCAGCCTGTAATCCCTAAAGGTAAGCGATTATTCGGTTTGAATTTTGTCCAATTTTACTGATATTTGAACATTTTATGACTAATTTTGTCTTGTTTTAGCTAAAAATCCGATTTCCCCGCAAAACCACATGCAATCAACCTATCTGGAGAGTCTGTTTCTTAACGAAAATTCTCATATTAACTCACCAGTGATGCCCTCGTCCAGTTCCCAGTACATTAGCCCTCCTCCGGGCTTTGCTTCGACCTCACCTTTGCATCAAAGTGATCCCTTGTTCGCTCCATTGCACTTAGACACTGCCCCGCAGACAAATTCTATACAATCTAACACTCCGATGAGTGGAGAATACTTTTTGAAGATGCTGATGTCTCCGAATCAAGGAAATAGACTCCAGAGTAATATTCAAACGAGCTCTGGACCTTCGGCCACCCAAAGACAGGAAATAAAACACCCGAAGGCAATCCATTCCAGTTCAATCTTGCCTTCAGCGAATGTAAGAGCGAGTTTTTAGATTTTTTTGATTAAATTTTTAATTTGTTGACATTACTTTATAAATCCATGTTTCAGTTAGCCTTTGTGTCCCCTGAAAATTCCCCCTTCAACCCAGCTGCTTTCAATTTCCAACGGAAAACTCCATCGAGGCCTGCAAAGCGACCAAATAATACGGAACCAGAAGAAATCGATGGATTTCAAACCCCTCCACTTCTGCTTCCAACTGATTTACTGGCCAGCAGCCCCGCAAATTCGGAAGCCGCCGCCTTGGCATCAGCTCAAAGGTATCTTGAAGCATGTGGAAAGGCGTTGAAGGACTCGGCACAACGTCAGAAAGTGAGAAACTCGAGATTTAGAAGGAATCAGCAAAGAAGTGGCAAGGAAACGGGAGAGGAAAATCAGAAGGAATCTTCGGTTTCACCAAAGAAAAAGAAGCGCTCAAGGAAGGGAAGGAGCAGCAAGAAAATGGTAAATTGATTTATATTTGTTCTTGGTGTTTTAGGAACAGAATTTGGAGGAAAATAAAGAATTTGTTACCTTTTTTCGAAATGGTGGCAAAATTTGATGAATAAAATTTAATATGACTAATAATTTTTATTCTAGTCGCTTGATCACCCCTCCACATCCAAGATGGAACCCGTATCGTCCTCTTCTACCCCAAAGCGCCGTATTAAATTAATGGAAAACGACGCCACCACCTCTACGGAAGAATATGAAAGTGAACGCCAAAAAGAAGAGTCCGAAGAATTCAATTCGGACGACTTGTTCGTGGCCCCGTCGACTTCCAAATTTGACCAAGATGACGCAGATGATGCCTCGATGGAAGGATCAGATTATGGAGATCCAGGTTCTTATAGTGGGTATAGAATACCAGATGAGCTGGAAAAGACATTCGATTCGGCGTTTGCGGAGTTCAAACAGAATGGAAATGGAAATATGAAGAATGCCAAGGACAATGGGGTACCTAAAATTGAACTTTGTGAGGCATGGAAGAGTTTTAAGGTAAGGAAAAGGGGTTTGAGTTGGTTTTAATACAGAAGTTGAGAATTTTTATATTGTTTTAGACATCTTTTTGATATTAATTTGGAAAAAATAATATAAGTTTAATTTCAGCTCAACATCAACCTTGACAACCTTCTCGGCATGAGTTAAATACTATGTACGCCTGATTTAAATTTAATTTTTATTATTTTCTTATCAATTTACAAAAGTCCACTTGAAAAATATGCTAGAACAATCATTTTTGTTTCATTTCACCTCTAAAGGTGCCTAAAATGACATAGGTATTGTTATAACGGTCTTCTAATGTTCATAGCTTTTTTTATGCCACCTAATTGAATAGTTTATAATCCCTTATGGACTATAAAGTATCTTTTTTTATTGTTATCACTAATTTTTGTTCCTCCTTTTGTAAATTTCTAAAATTTATTGTAATCACCTAAAGGGTTTCCCGTTTTATTATGAATAAAGTTGTTTTTTTCAAGCTGGTGAGGAGTATTTTTGTTTGAAATATGTTTTAGAGGAGGCTTCATTTCAATTTTTTTACTTTTCCTGTGGTCTATGACCTTATTTTAGGCCGATTGTGTAGCGTTGAAACGCAATTTATTTTTCGAAACAAAAAAACCAAAACAGTGTATACAAAAGTGTAATGTACAAAAACGGACTACTACAGTAAAGACTCGTATTTAAAGTGCGTTTTTTCAGTGGAAATTGAGTAGATTGCACAAAAAACGACCTCAGGGATTGTTGAAGCATATCACAGAGCCGGTCCCGCTTGATTGGTCAATGGTTTCAGTGAGAGAGTCGTTCTCGACAATGGGGGCACGATCATCGTTCTTGTAGAGGTCGAAGAGGCGGTTGCGGCTTGGAGCCAAGGTCACAAAACCGAGGATGGAGAGGAAGAAGAGCTCACAGATGATGATGAAGTTGCAAAGGACTGAAAAAATGGTGTTTATATACAGGGTGACCCAAAAAAACGATCATCAAATTTGTTTGTGTCCTAACGCGAAAATTTTTAGGTGCAGGGAAATAATTATTGCACTATTAAACTCTCCGTGTTTTTCTGTCCTAGTACTTCCCTTTTCATGTCCATATCGATTGATTAACATGTTTTTTTAATGTCAAAAAAAGGGACTGCGATTTTGGGACCGTTGCGACAAAAGGAAACTTGTTAATTTGGTAGATGTGGAAAGGACGCTGTGTCGAAAACAATCACAAGATACAGGTAGCTTGGCAACAGTAGTCGGCGTCCAGGAAGTGAAAGAAAACGCACCGCCAACAATTCTGCGAGACGCGGGATCATTAACAACAAAATCCGCGAATTTCAAGAAAAAATCGCTCGCAAGAACGGTATCAGCGATCGATTCGTCTACCGAATAGCCAAAGATAAGCTCAACCCCGTACTGTACAAGCTGCAAAAAGGTCAACCCCTCAAGGACGGCAACAAGCGCGTAGAGCGCCAGAGATGCCTGAAACTTAAGGGCTCAGAGGTGTGAGCGCATTCCCTTCGTGGTTCAATGTTTAGCGGATGCACGACCACCAGAATGACAGGATCTGATCCCATGAGGCCCCGAGCACATTAGCTAACGTCAAAACCCGAAAAAATGCGGACCGTTACCCTCTGTGGCGGAATTTGTGCCAGCGGCAAGAAATCCATGCTTTTAGTGGATCAAGGGGGCAAAATTCTAGCTCTGCGTTAATCTCCATCTCGTCGTGCTTCCGTTGACTTAGAAGAACCTTGGAGATGCAAATTTGTCGCTTCAACTAGACTCAGCGCTGACTCACAAGGCAAAAGCGACTCAAGACCAGTAATGGAACCGATTTTTCCGCCTGCTCGCCGGATATGAAACCGATGAACTATAATTTTTTTCCAATTCGAGGGCGGTACCTGTACTACACGTCACAAAAGTTTGGAGTCACTGAGTGATCGCTGCGCTGAGAACGGGAACGATTTCCCCGAAAAAAGCTGCGGCCCCGAGCCCAAAATTTTAAGTCATGTTTGGAGCTCTATATCGCCGCCAAGTGCTGCTGCTTTGAAACCAGCTTAGTACTTGATCACCATGATTGCTGTTTATCGCTTGAATTCATAAATTTGTGCTTGTACCGAAAAACAAGGTTTTTATTGCGAAAAGTCTTGATGATCGTTTTTTTGGGTCACCCTGTATAATAATAATATATCTACTGGGCAGGTTGCATTACAGTAGGCGTCCAGTGGCAAAAAACGTACCATTTTGCAATCAGGAAGTATCAAAAAATGTGGCAAAATACCTCCCTCTCCAAGTGAAAAAAACTCAGATTTCAAAAGCTTTTTTGTGAGGAAAAAGGCCCTTCAAAACGAAGTTTTTTCACTTGGAGAGGGAAGCATTTTGCCACATTTTCGATACTTCCCGGATGCAAAATATTACGTTTTTTGCCACCGGATCATGCAAAAAAATATAGCAAAACTTGATTATAAGTCATAACAAAACTTAATTTTTCATAATCAAAAATAGGTTCCACCCCTTTGCTAACCTCAACTACCGATATGCCACTCAAAAACTCCCTTTCTTTACTTACATCTTGCATTCTCCGCCGGAGTCAAGACTTTTGTGCAGCTGATCAAATCGAATCTCAGCAAAATATTCTGGAATATGATTGGGTGTTGTGCGGAGAACAAGAACAACGCCACATCCACTATCCTGAACATCCACGTGAATCCGAAATGGGCCAATCGGTCTGCCACCAGCCGGAACAAAGTGTGGACTCCGAAAACCGCGAGTAAAATCGAAATCAACGTGCCCAGTTCGCATAGTTGGATTTCGTACGAGGCATCTCGTTGGATTTCGATTGTTATCGTGGCTTCGATGAAGAGGACGACGGCTCGGACAATCGGCGCTTGGAGCACGATGAATTCGAGGATTCGGAGGTTTCGCCTGGAAAAAGACCTCGTTAAAATACAGGGTCTTACAAAAAGCGTGAAGGAAGTCGGAGGCTGTAACTTCCGGCGGAGGCGGCGCAGAGAGTTCGTTTTTGGAATACGTATTTTTAAGCGAGATTAGTTTTTGTCTACAAAATAGCAAGATTTTAAAGTGCAAACTGAGGTCGCTACGACCTTCTGAAGTAGGGGCATTCCTACCCCGAAAACCAGTGTTTTTCGGTTGAAAATCACCGAGAAATGTCGGATTTCTTCGGGGTTTTCGATAAGGTTGATGTTGAGAAAAAGGAAGGAAATTGCCAAAACGTTGCAAAAATCCGACATTTCTCGTTGATTTTCAACCGAAAAAAACACTGGTCTTCGGGGTAGGAATGCCCCTACTTCAGAAGGTCGTAGCGACCTCAGTTTGCACTTTAAAATCCTGCTATTTTCTAGACAAAAACTAATGTCGCTTAAAAAAATGTATTCCAAAAAAGAAGTCTCTGCACCGCCTCCACCGGAAGTTACAGCCTCCGACTTTCCTTCACGTTTTTTTAAGACCCTGTAAATTCGAAAAGGTTTCAAGAGAACAAAATCTACCTCAGAATATCTATAACTAAATTCTGCACAAAAATAATCCCAAAAATCAGTCAAAAAAAAAAAATTGGCTTACAACGTTGGTCTAGCCTCCGGAAGACAAGGAATCAGACAACAGAAGGGTGGAGATTGGAAATTTATCCTCTTTTCGGCGATCAGAAGCTCTCTGGACAGCTGACTTCGTCCTTGTGTTAGATGCCGGATCAGTGAAACCAGAACGAAAAGGCACAACAAAAAGTAGAGCATTCCGCCGGATGTGGCCAAGGGCGCAGTTCGCGGAGAAAACATACCAACCAAACAGAAAATCATCGATATCTGAAAGAGTAAGGGGTCAAAATAGCCTCGAGGTATTATATTAGACAATTACGGAGACTTGTTTAGGTATTAAATTGAAAAAAATCGAAAAATTATATTATAATTGACTAAAATAATGTCAAAAAATTAAATTACAGTTACTTACAGGGAAAAGAGTGATCAGAAAGTAAAGTTTGTTCCTTCGACGTTCTGAGGAGATCTTCTGATACACATAACAACACTCGAAAATACCAACTACACCACAAATTAATGTAAGAGCTGAGCCGATAATCAACATGATCATTTGACTCTTCTCCAGGTCTGAAATAATCAAAAATTAATTGGAACAGAATAAAAGAGTCAGAAAAGAAATCCGGACAATAAAAAAAATCAAAACTATACCTAAAATCTCGAAATCTTACTTTTGACGAACTCAAAAATGGACGGCGCTGTCGCTTCATGGTAGCTTCCATTTCCACAGTGAAAGTCCGACCTTAGCACAGGCAGAAACATGGACTTAACCTCACGCAAAACAAATTGAAACACCGACTCGTTGACTGTCATCTTCTCCATGAGATCAGACCATTTCACGGCTGGAAAAACGCAAAATGAGACCAATCCGAGCTACCGAATTAGTTGAAAATGAAAAACACGATAAAAACTGTCGATTCAACGATTTCGAGGGGAAATTTAGGTACGAAAAAAATGAAAGTTCAAACGATTATCTAAACAAGGAGAAGATTCGATAAATATACGTGAAATGTTCAAAACATAATTTATGTAAACACGATGAACAGAGGGCGTGAGACATTGTGAAACGCTAGGATCATAGTTTACTCAAGGACGAGCTCAATAATATTGAAATTTTGAGCAAAGAGTATATTAGACATGACTCATCAAAAAACTGGATGGAAATCTAAAAAAAGTTTAGCGCAATCGAACAGTGATAGATACTGTTACTTCTATCAATCATTATTTTACACAAAAATACGATCAGCTTTGAGGAAAAAACAAAAAAAATATTTTTGATACCTAAAACAAGAAAAACCGTATAAATTGACCTGAAAGAAGTCTCTGACGATTCGTTTATGAAGCAACAGGGTCTCATTATATTTTTTGAGATCAAAATAACGTGATTCATACCTAAATTCATCAAATATCGACTAATCTTTCAAAAATTTTAGCTAAAATCCCGAAAAACTCGAATAAAACTCCTTTTTTCTAACGGAAATGCGGCGCGAAAACTAAATGTCTCGCCAAACCCGTAATAAATATTGACCTTTCTTTCGAAAAGAATAAACAAAAAATTCATAGAAAAATGTCGCGAATTGTGAGCGAACTCGCGAGCTGAATCACGAGGAGAAGACGGCTTTGAGGCTTTTCTCTTCTCACGAGGAAAAAAAAAGAAACAGAAAAGAAGGACAAGGCGCTCTCTGTGATGCCTCGAGGCGACGAATGCAAATGAACCGGCTAAACATTGCGTTCGGTGGCTATAACAACAAGGAAAATAATGAAATTTTGAAATTTTTGTGGAATGGGAAAGGGAGAACAATTGCTTTCGGTTTTGATTGTTGGTTGATAACAGGAACTGATATCAACGGAAGAACTTTTGAAAAAGTGCTTTCTATCAGCGACTAAGGGTCGAAGAAGGGAAAAGGAGTATCAAAACGAACTCTTTTGAAAGATGGTGACATATGACCGGTCAAGCGATAAGCCCCAGTGATTGTCGGACCTCCAGAACGAGCCAGTTAAAACTGCCAAATTTCAACTCCCATTGTTATTATAATATAATATAAGGCGCGTTCGTTCTACATCTCAGCGGGTCTCCTCGCAGAAAACCCGCATTTCTTGTCTGTGGGCCCTCTAGACAAAAATTGCGCATTTTCTGTCTATAGAGACAAAATTTACAAATCTTGTCTGAGATAAAAAACAAAGAGTCTGGCCGTTAGTCTGGACGAAAACTTCAAAATGTTGTCTGGACTCCAGACAAGAAACGAGGCCTCGCGAGGATTCTTGTCTGGTAGTCAGACAAACTTTTTTGTCTGACCAGAAACGGAAAATCCTGCAAAAAATTTTTATCCACGAAAAGTTTCGATTCTCTTCTCTGTGGGACTTGCGAGTTGCATTTCACAGCCAAAGTTCTACGGCGCACAAAATAGATCAACTCCTTTGTCCCTAAACCGGATGAAAAAAGAGAAAACTTACATTTTCTGGAGACACCATCAGCTACTGCAAAATGATGCATTAATGAACTAGGAAGTGACCTTTTTCAACTACGAAATTTCCAAATTTCTTTTTTAAAACATCCGCTAGGATGTTTCACACAAATGAATTGGCTACGTTGTTCCTAAACCGGATGCAAAAAGAGAAATCTTACCTTTTCTATAGACACATCAATAGCTGGAGAATCATTTTTGTGTCAGAGCGCAATGGGCTGGCCTCCATGAACTCATCCATTATATTCAACACTTGAAACTGACAAAAACGTAATTTTTGACATACTATTCATCTCTAAATTATACCAACTCTCAGAGTTACAATAATATCTACCACAATATTCATGCGCTCAAAAAAGATTAAAAATATTGGGCGCAGCTCGAAATCTCTATTTCCAATTTTGCCTTACGTTTTTCGTGGCGTGCGGCGGAACTGTCCGACCACCGAAACCCAAGGCCAACGACCGTCGTCGCTGACCCCGATCACGGTGAAGGACATGCTTCGCCTTGGAACTTTTGCGTTCCTTGAGACTGTTTTCGTTTCTGGCCGAAAGGGCCGAACACCAACAACTTCGTAAAACACTCTCAAGGAACACAGAAGTTCCAAGGCGAAGCGTGTTCTTCACCGTGATCGGGGTCAGCGGCGACGGTCGTTTGCCTTGGGTTTCGGTGTTCGGGCAGCTCCGTCTTAGAAGATTGTCACAGGAAAGAAGTGCGGTGAAAAATTTTTTGTAGGCGAAATTTTGCATTTCTGGCCAGACAAAGTTTTCTTGTCTGGCTACCAGACAGGATTTCGCATTTCTTGTCTGGAAATCCCAGACAACTTTTGTACAGTTTTTGTCTGGCTCTGGACAAGAATCGCCTATTCTCGTCTGAACCGAAAATAATTTGGACGGAAAACCGCAATTCTTGTCTAGAGGGCCCACAGACAAGAACTGCGGGGTTTCTGCGAGGAGGTCCGCTGAGATGTAGAACGCACGCGCCTTATATTATAAATCAATATTATGCCTAAAAAATGCGCTTTGAACTTCTTGATCAAGTTTGACCAAACTCCGTAAAGACGAATTTATTCTGATTACAAATTCATGACGATCAATTTCTGTAGGCCCAATCAGAATTTGAATTAAAAAATTTTTATGTTATATAAAAACCAAACGATTACAAATCATTGTTAACATTTACCAAATGCGAATTACATTCGTTATTGTTTTATTATGCCTTCTGGGAACTCTTGCGATTGCTCAAAGTCCATCGCCAAGGAAGAACGGTTAGTTATCAAAATAAAATTGGCTAACAGGGGAAGTACCCCAAGTGTGACGCATAGATTTTGATGGAACTTGCCACAAATTTAGAATAATTTTTTCTAGGACATATGCGAGAATCCTAGCTGCGCTTTGCAGAAACAACCGAGATTTTTAGATCGAAAGAGATTTGAGATCTTTTGCCGAATTTTGGCACGAAAAGTTTCAAACCTATTTCTACCGTAATGGGAAATGTTTCGACAAAAAATCAATTTTTTCCGCGCGAAACTAGCAAACTTATGGCCAAAAAGTGTTTTCGTCTCTAACCGCTCTCCGCGTTTAGCAGAATCTCTCGGAGGCAAATAGAGTTCAATATCTCGGTGGTGCTTGCATAGCGCGAGCTAAAACTTTCAAAAATTGATATTTAGTCTGCTCCCGACGTGTGTGCAAAATTATTATAAAAAAATTGCGTCGCACTTGGGGTACTTCCCCTGTAAGCTGTAATTTACGACTTTCCTGTTTCAAATTCTTTCTATTGTTTTCGGTTCGTACCTTGCACTCTTTAGTTCTCAAATCCCAGGAGATGGCCGCTTATAAGTGCCAGGATGCCAAATGTTATCAGTGGTGTCGTCAAAATGGGGCCAGATACGGAAATTGCCGGACTCAACGCTACATGGATTGTCAGTGCTTCTACCGTTCCGATCATAAATAAACAATAAATATATATATTTGGATAAAGCTCTTTACTATAGTAAATCTTTATTTATATCAGCCTCTCCAGCCTCATACAGGCACCAGAGAATCCTGCGAACGCTGACGCGGAATGCAAAGAATTTGTGGCCAAAAATAGAACTCATTACTTAGGCCATAAGTCATAGCTCCTGTGATGTTTTCTTCAGCCGCATAAATTACAGTACTCCAACGAAATTTCACGATGTTGACAATTTCATGCGTAATTAATGAGCACGTGCAAATATTCAAGAACCAACATCTACACCATAAAATGCCTACTAATCTGTTTTTAATGTCGTAAATTTGCCTAATGGACTTTGATTAGCGTAAATTTCTTGTGGTTTATATAAATGTAATCGTATGCCACTAGTTCCTTATCCCATTTTATAACCAAAAGTAATCGGAATCCGATTTGTTCTTATTTTTCAAATCTCCGGGATTAGTGCGGATTTTCGGGCTATTTTCGAACGCTCTTCTTTGATTGTTCTTACAATTGTAAATATATAGTTACTGCGGACATAAGGAAGCTACAGTCGCAAGGCATTTAAAGAAGTTAAATTGTGGAATTCTTTGCTGACATTTGAAGTGCTCGGCGCTTAGATTAGGGGAAACTTGTTACAAATTTCAACCGAATTTTTCTGCGAAATTTTCCTTTTCTTCTTCCAGGCGGTTTGTGAAAAGACCATGTTTTTTGGCATACAGTAAGCAAAATGTGAAATCTTTTTTGCCGAACTCACAAAAAGCGATGTTTTTTTTGTGCAACTAGTTTTATCTTTGTTTAGGTTACTTGATGCCCGAAAAATCATTGGATAATTTTTGGTGTTTCCCATGCAAAAAATGTTGCAGTAAAATCCACAGCCCAAAAAAGCCATTTGCACACTGAAGGTCCTGATCCAGTGGCAAAAAACCCACCATTTTTGCATCCACAAAGTATCAAAAAATGTGGCAAAATGCCTCCCTCTCCAACTAAAAAAACTCCATTTTGAAGGGCCCTTTCCCTCACAAAAAGAGGTTTTAAAATTGGAGTTTTTTCACTTGAAGAAGGAGGTATTTTGCCACATTTTTTTGATATTTCCCAGATGCAAAATGGTAGGCTTCTTTCCACTGGATCAGGCCCGCCATTGTATGTACAAAAAAAACAAGAAATTGCCCAGTGCCAAGTAAAGTTTTGTTTTCTCACGGTGCATGTTGCCGAAGTCATTCCAGCGACATTTCGGACGACCAAATATGTATTTCTTGTAGTAATTTGTTTAGAAACTTGTAAATCGTCCATCTTTCCTTTCATTTGGATTCCTCAGCCCGACCCAATTAGTATATTTTAGCATTTGTATAGACATGGGAAAGCGGAGAATTTTTTGGAACAGGAAGACGAGGAATGAGGCAAATAAATGAGTCAAAACATAAAAAATATTGAATTTGGAAGCCAGGAGCGGAATTCAAATTATTTATGTTTTCGCTTTGAGTCGCTGGGCCGCTGGGCTTTTATTATTTTTGTTTTGGTAGTGTGGTGAGCAACAGTCATCGTTTTAGGAGATGGGTTGAACTTTTGATCATGAAAGTACGGATAAAGTATTTAGGAGAAATCTGGTGTAGACTTCAGCGGGAGAGGGTGTTCTCAGAATTCGTTTAGAGCGAGAGATCAGAGAAAATGAAGAGAGACGGTGAGTGAAAAAAATTCTTTCATCGGCAATCCTCCGATTTACCTCAAAAAAAAGTAAATTTTTAATATAAATGTGACTAATATATGTGTCAAACAACACGATTCTTTCCACGCCAAGCATCTCTGAGAATAGTCCTCTGGCGACGATCCAGTAAAATTATTTCTGAAAATACTCATTTTTACGGCTTGTGAGACGAAGTGTCCAGAAAATTGCCTATTGTATCAACAGCAGAAAAAATGCGATGGTATTCTACATGTGTACAATAATACTTATTTTACTTTCTACTTCCGGCTTTGTTTTTATGGCACGAGGCAAATTTTTAGTCAGAAGTCTCAAAAGTCAATGGTAAGCCGAAAAGAAAATCCGTGTGCAATGAAGGCCTTTTGTAACGAACAGATTTTTTAATATATTTGTTCTGCATAGGTTTGACTCTACTTCTCCACGAAAGGCTTTTTTGCAGTCCAAAAAACTTAAATCTTCAACTTCGTCGTCAAAAACATGACTAGAATTTTAGCCCTTTAAATTTAGATGACATGAGGATGAAGTATGTCCCTCTTTGAAATATAATGTCTCTGAGCTTGTCTAATTCCTGGCCACCAAAACAAAATCGCTTTTCCATTGTTGGTTTTTGATTAATTGTCTTTTTCGATTCACAAAAAATAAGCCATTTGTCTCTGGGATCATTTTCTGATCGTCTTCCTCTTCCTGCTCATGGGCAGCCGTTTTTTCCGTGTATGTGACGTGGTTCGTGAGGGTGGCGGCCTCTGATTGCGTTGATTTGTTTTTTTTTATAATCTGAATTTGAATGAAAAGTTCAAAAATTGCTTAGGATCAAATGAGAAGCTAGAGGATGTGTTTAAAGTGCAAAGCTCAGGGTTTGATGAAAACTGGCCCAAGGGTGGGTTAAGGTTTCCTACGAAGAGGAACCATTTTTTAGTTTGCACTTTGCGGTAACCGACGAGATTTGAAGGCTGCGAGATGTCAAAACCGAGACATTTTGTGGTGTTTTTTAAAGGTCCGAATTCAGAACAAAACTCGACTTTTATCAGGGTGCAAAATTGAGTGACTTTCTCGGGGTTCAATTACAAGGTCATTCCAAAAAATAGCATTTTTCGATTCGAAATTGGCCGAGCTATGACTAAAAAATATTTATGTCAGTTCTTGTACAATTCTTTGAATTTTTCGCCGATAAATCGTTGAATATCTCGGCAGAGCTGGAAAAGCATGAACTAAAATTTTGATGAGTTGATTTGTAGTCCAAATAGGCTATAATGGTAGAATTTTTGATGAGATACCAGCATTGAAAACGGAAATTTTTTTGCTAATTTTTACCAAGTTCTTCTAGGATCTCGAAACCACTCTTATCCAACTTTAAACCTCTTAATCCGCAAACCTCTCCTCATGTTTAACCGCTACGGTAATTCGAGCCATTTCGATTATCTTCCACTAATCCGAGTAACATTTTATGCCACCGTAGAATGTTTACGTTAATCAAGCCCTAATCCCGTTTATCCTGTATCCCAGGCCAATTTAATCTCAACTTTATCTCGGTTAATCGCTGGGTATTGGATATAAGAATTAAGCGATACGAAAATTAGCGTGGAACCGGTTTAAAAATTTTTTGTTTGGGACTATTTTCAAATTTTTTGTTTTTTAAAGTTACTACAAAAGTCGTAAGCAGTACTTCCAATTGTCAGCCTTTTATTTTTAAAGCAAATTCAAGTCACAACTACCTTAAAAATCATCAAAGATCATCTTGGAGGCTTAATTTTAGTGTGAAAGTCTTTGTTTTAAAAGTTTAAGCAGTTTAAGCTATGATTTTCTTGAATTTCCCGCTGCAATTTAGACTTTTAATGTCAAGTGCGAGGCCATGTCAATACCAATGAACTACTCAACGAAATCTTAAAAGATTTTAGTCTCTCGACCTTTGCGTCGGGTCCCGTTGTGACAACAAAACGAACCTCGATATAACGCAAACAAAACCTGACTCTTTTCAGACCTCTTTTCTTTTCTTCTCCCGAAATGCACTGTGCAGATCCGCCGCGCTTCCGTTCGGAGTTGGCTTTCAAAAAACAAAATTCTTTTAGGCCATTGAGAAGGGTAGAGGGTGTGGGGTCTGATGGACAAAAATTTTTTCGTTTTATTAGTCATCATAGTTAGAAGTTTAAAAACAAAAGGGGCTTACAGTAATTAACGGAGGCACTTATGAATTCTAGCAGAGAATTCTAGTCTAGTCCCGATGCGCAAGATGTATAGGCAGAAGGAGAAAAATAATCAAAAAAAATGTAACATTATTCTCTTACGAATCTTACAGTTCCCTGAGGTGTTTTGTATGCCGTGCGGAGATGAAAATTGCCGGGTAAAGCAGCAGAGGTTGCGACATACATGGTACTGAAGACGTACTGTTTTCTGATAGTGTTAGCTGGGCTATGTAATTTTTTTATGAAAAAATTGATTGGAGAAATGGTTCGTTCTGTAAGGAACATTGAACCTAAAAACCTCAATACAGCGTTTGGGCTAACATAAGCTTTGAAACGAGCAAAATCACGGGTTAAAAGTCTTTGTTGAATTTTGATCCGTTTTAACTCAAATCTGCCGACAATTTAGCTGAAAATACCTTTGGCGTTTACCTTGTAGACGTGACCTAAAGGTGTAAAAACTAGGATAAACGATGATCATATTATTAATATATAGCATAAACTCTAGAAACGGTTAACAGTGTGAAACGCTATTCAAAGAGAAATAAATTGTCTTGTTACCACATTTCATTAGAAGCCATGGTAGTGTCAAAGCTACCGTACGAAACATTTTCAATTACTGAAAGTGCTGGCGGAATAACAACTTGTACTGGCCTTGTGTTGTAATATCATTGTTTGCGAAATACGCATCCTAAAGCTTGATTTCAGGCGCTTAACGCTATTGTGCGCATGCCGTTCGAACCGCATTTAGGACTCTAGGGAGTTTAAAGTGTCAGCGTTTTTTGTATGGGGCTGTCCCGGGCTGTGTATCAAGGCTTCGACTACGTATACTAATTTGACTTTAGCATAGGAAGGTGGGACTTAGATAGGAAATATATACGCTTAAACCAGGTGAAATCTTTCTGCATGGGCCGAAGTGATGGAATTTGACCCTGATCTGGCTCAGAGTTTCTTTAGGTTTCATCAAAGCTTTGTAGCCCTCCTTAAAAATAAGTTTGAAGAAATCGCCAAGTTATTCAAAGCCAATGAGGGAAAATTTTGAAACTTATTGCTGATTTTTTGGATAAAAAATATGTCCGGTTGGTCTTACACGTAGACGCGAAAGTCGGCTACTTTATAAT